AAGTTCACTTTTTGATTAATACGAATTATATCTCACAGAGTGGCATCAAAGTTTTAGAGATGATTAGGAGGGGCAAACCAAAAAAAAAAAAAAAATGGTTGGGAATCACTGGTTTAGATGATGACATCTTTTCTCCACACACAAAACGTCACAAGCCTCCTCATCCGAGAAATTTAAACAGAAATAAGCCTATCAGTTGCTGTATCTTCACGTGTATAACCAGAGAGATATTTTGGCTATTTTTTTGTTTATTGTGAATGAGGTTTTTATATTCCATCAAATATTGTGGTTATCATTTTTTCAAACGGATAGGCAACATTTTATGATAAAAAGACTCACTAACAGAAAAGATAGAGAAATCCTATCAAGAGATTTTGATGTCAAGATTCGAAGATTTCACAGATATAAATGGTATTAATTCTTAACGGCAAAGATTTATGAACTGAAATGTTTCACATTTCGATTGATGACGCTATTTGTAAATACATTTGCTAGCTCAAGGGACTGCGACATCACACATTTGTGACCATGTCATAAACAAATGGAAACTGCTCCCATGATGCTTCGAAAGCTGAGGAGGAAGAGAAGGGAATAACGTCATGTTGACAGAATGGAGTGCAAAGTAATCTCACAAAAAATCTGTTGCCTGTGTCAGCAACATCGTAAATCACAAATTGAGACCGTTAATCGATTGGGGGAAAGGGAAACAGTGTTTGGAAAATATCCTAATACACTGGATTTCTTTTTTTTGTTTAAATGAGCCATCAGTTTATAAACGAAAAATATCAGTCATTTCACAGTTGATACTGTTGCGGATTGGCAAATGTATTTTGTGTATCAGAAGGTTTAGAAATGTAGGGATTCACAAGACATTCATCCACAACAAATATAAAAATAAGAACATTGAAGGTGAAAATCATTCAGGAGGAATCAAAAATGAGGACAACATGATTAAAGGTTTAACAAATAACATTCATTTTATATCAATTATACAATCAAGATAGATATTGCTGATCAAGTGTGACCAGTTGTAATAAAATATGTAGAAGGATTATGCTGAGTTTCAATGTGTGTAGGCTTGTGGTTAGGATTTGTGCATGAAATTAAACAAGATGTTTTATCCTATTACAAAATGACTTTTGTGGGAGTTCAGTCACTAGTGTGTATGTGTGCGTCTGTTAAAGTTACTGTTCGAAGTTTATAAGAGTTGTTTACCTTTAGCTGTTGTCTTGGTGTTGGATTGCGATTTACAAATACTGTTTAGTAGTGGGTCAATTCACTTTATTTAGTATGTTGTAAGTAATGTTCCTGAGAGAGCGAAGTGTTGTTTGTCGAGTCAGAAGAATTAGCGCGCGAAAAGTGTAGTTAGGTCAAAGATTTGGCTAGCGTGGATTTGTTTAGCAGGGGTTGTTCTGTTTGAATTGAATCGAAACGCTTCTATTTATTGAGTTTGTGGTCTCAGAATCGGCTCCAATAGCGGTACACGGGAAAAGGTTATATTTTGCTCAAACTTGCTACAGTTTTAAGGTCTCAGCCAATGAAAAACCTAGTTTGCTGAAACTAAGATGCTGATTGGTTATGAGGTGATTATGCGTGAAAAATGCATTATCCCGGAGGGGTGACAGGTAAGTATGTATGGAATATTTCATCAATACTACAAGATGCCCAGTTCAAAAGGCGGTAAATTCTGAAAGGCGTGACAGAACCGTTGAAAACTGGTGGAGACTGATGTGACTGAGAAATTCAGAAAGAATTTCTGGACATTTCGTCAATCTCCATGTCGGATGTTCTTTGAAAAGAGCGATAAATTGACGCTCAAAATAAGTGGATTGTTTAGCCATACGAGATAGGCTGAAGAAAAGACGAAAGTTTTCTCCAACTAACCTTTAAATGACGAGTCACTAGATCAAACAGGAATTAATCAAACGTAAGAGAACCAATCAGAGTTAAGTAATTACACAAGAGTCGAATGATTATTCAAGGTCATGAATATTCAAGAAATCTTTTCAAGGTTATTCACTTCTCTCTCCCCACTCCTTTCAGTCTTCTTTTAATCTCTGTGGTAGTTTAAGTATCATCCTACTAAACTCAGTTCGCATGATTTTCAAACCGATGGTGCAATTGATTTACTGGGGTGCTTGGCTGTCCTAGACTAACCACATTGGCGACTGGTTTACATCGACAGCCATAGCATAAAAGTGGGAATAGTTTCATTGATTTAAATTTAAATAAATTTATCTATTAATTCACAGAAACGAAAAAAATAATTTAACGTTTTTAAATTTCTTAACGAGTTAAAAGTCGAGAATCCTACGCCTCGTGTGGAACAATGTTATGCCCAATTCTAATACCCAGATATACAGACCAGTTATAACACCCAGATATACAGATCTATATCTATGTAAGATTTGGTGTTATCAGGTTGAATTTAAGTAGGTGAGTATTATGTACAGAAAGTTGTGAAGAGCCTTGACCGCCTACAAAATGAAAGGACTTTGCACATAATGAAGAACTCGGCTCAGTAGGGAGTAAGCGGTCTTATTTTGATATATATTCAAATTCTGATGACGTAAAAAAACAGACACATACCACGAAATTTAAATACCTTAAAATAAATTAACTTGCTCGTTACTTTAAAATATATTGAAATTCTTTCTTTAAAAAAAATTATTAAATTGTTATTTAGGTGCATACATCCATATGCAAATTAATTGAAACAACTGCTTTAGTTTCCTTTGTTTCACCATACGGTCAGTTTTAGACCCACTGGAGTGACAGGGTGTAATCAATTTCTATTTTTTCTCAGATTAGGTCATTTGCCGTGGTGTGCAGTAATATGAATCTATTTTCAGGGTGTATGATGAAATTTGTATGGCCTTGAACAATATTGCATCATCCGTGATTGCACTAGATTTTCATCACGCCCAGACACTATTGTCTCAACTGTCGATTAGTTGTCCTACGGCCATTGTCTGCGATGGACGTTACTCCAAGGAAGCGTACGAAAATTGCAACGCTGAACGAAGAATCTGGAAAGCCTTACTAGTGAGCAAATCAAATTACTATAGACTGGCCCGGAAACTCTCTTGATTTAAATGCGATCGAGAATCTGTGGTCAATCTGCAAAGGAAGATTTCGTGGAATGGACATACGAAGTACTAACATGTGCACTAGGTCATGTTTCAATGGAAAAATACAAAAAAAATTAATAATAACGGAATTATTCGTTTTATTTCAATTAATTTAAACTTTTTTTTTAACCAAACCGGTCAAATGCGCAAAGAATAATTCTGTTTCAGATATTTTACATTGTTGATCATTCAATCCAAGAACAATCAAGTTAGAGGATTACTGAATTAGGTTGTTGAAAGTAGATAATGGTTCACCCGAGACGAAGAAAATAAGATTGTAGTGATCGGGGAGGCATCCTGTTGGGAGTCTGTTCCACAAAGTAGCGTCTCCTGGGAAAAATACGAAGCGTATGACGATGACTCGACCCGCAGTAGGCATCCTGGCAGGGATTATCTGTGAAGATTTGAAGGTGTGGAACTAAGGAATATAGCTCATCTTAACACTTGCCATGACCATAACGAGAGACTTGCGATGTTTCGACTGTGGGAAAGGGATTGCAGTGTAGAAAGAGTTAATCCCCCACAAGGCCGCGTAAGCAGTCTTGAAATTTATCAAAGCTGAGCAGCTTCAGCCCAATGATTAGGCATAGTGTGCATGTGTGTGTGTGTGTGTGTGTGTGTGCGTGCGTGTATGTGTGTGATGCTCCACGTGGTTCGGTTGAAATTAAAATGTCACGACATGTGTTATGCCTGGTGATTAAGTTTCCCAGACAGCAAATGGATCACGTCTTCTCACGACAGCACCTGTTTGTAAAAGGAGAGAGAGAGAGAGAGAGAGAGAGAGAGAGAGAGAGAGAGAGAGAGAAACAGAGAGTATGTAAGAGAGGGTTTGTTATGATTCAGAATGATAATAATATTTCACCATTCTAAAAACAACATTTCCATCACTGATGATTGATGATAAGGATATTTCATTATCCTCGAAATAAAGATAAACATTTCATAATTCTAAAACCTTGCCACTAGTGATGATATATGATGATGATATTTCATCATTCTAAAATCTGAAACGTCATCATCATAAAACGACCCTTTCCACCACGAGCAGTCTGTAGAGTAGCAGTAGCAGTAGTAAAAAAGAAACAATACAAATGTATCGCCATCGCTCCGACAAAATCGACAGTTGACTGTCTCGAAGGCTACGCTTAACAACGAAATTCTCGGAACAAACAAAAACAAGTAAGCACAAACTTTTAAAGAACCAAAAGAAACAATAACACTGAGAACATTTTTAACTCACACAATAGCAATATTGTAATTAACATCACGAAAAGAAAAATACACATTCTTGTCATTAATGTCAAAACATGTCTCAAAGTATTTTTGTTTATGTTATTGTTGTATGTCTTATTCATTTCATTTTCAGTAAAAACAGAGAAAAGGAATCCTCTATCAACTGCATATACATATAACAACGGCGTAATTACTTTAACAACCACAAACCATCAACCCCATTACAAGTTTCTCGTTTACTTTTATATTACTTTACGATGCCATGTAGTGAGCGTTAAGCCATGTCCATTGGTAAACAAGTTTAGTTTCCAATAATGCTACATCAAGTTTTCTTTTTTATTCTTATTTTGTAACAGCTGAACCTATTTTTAAAAATTTATGTTACTTCCAATGCATACTTTATCTCAACTTTGCCTCAACATTTTTAAGAAAAAGTACAAATTTATTTATTTTTATTTCACTTTATATCGGTGTAATAGAATGTTTCCTTTATTTCCTCAGTGTGCTGCACCATTAAATTTGTCTTCTGTCTCTTTTCACTTTATCATTGTATTTTCTACGTTGCTTCCACTCAGTTCTCGGTCTGGCTTCGTAAACATTATGTCTGTCCGTGTGTCATCGTAATTTACCCCTTTTATGCTGAGGGGCTGTCATGGAGATGAGTTCGCTTGCAGATCTCGGAGAGTGTTGCCCTTCCCTTTGAAACAACTTGTCTCCACCCACACCTACTACAGCCATCCACTGCTTACTCCGCCCTCCACTCGTGTTTCCTGTTGCAATAAAATACAGTTTTTATTGTTTTTTGTTTGTTAATGCACCTCCCTCGATCTGTCAAATCACAACTTTTACATTGTTACTGACTCCTTAACTTACAATATCTATCTATCTATCTATCTATCTATCTATCTTCATATCTTAATATCTATCTATCTTAATATCTATTTATCTAAGTCTGTTCTTTCCTATCTATCTATCTATCTATCTATCTATCTATCTATCTATCTATCTATCTATGTTCCTAAGTATGTTGCTATCTCTATCTCTCTCTCCCACTATCTATCTATCTATCTATCTATCTATCTATCTATCTTAGTCTGTTCCTATCTATCTATATTCCTAAGTATGTTGCTATCTCTATCTCTCTCTCTCCCACTATCTATCTATCTATCTATCTATCTATCTATCTATCTATCTATCTATCTTAGTCTGTTCCTATCTATCTATGTTCCTAAGTATGTTGCTATCTCTATCTCTCTCTCTCCCACTATCTATCTATCTATCTATCTATCTATCTATCTATCTATCTATCTATGTTCTTAACTATGTTCCTAACTCTCTCTCACTAAGTCTGTTCCTATCTATCTATCTATCTATCTATCTATCTATCTATCTATCTATCTATCTATCTATCTTTGTTCCTATCTATCTATGTTCCTAAGTCTGTTCCTCTATCTATCTATCTCTCTATCTATCTATCTATCTATCTATCTATCTATCTATCTATCTTCCTATCTATCTATGTTCTTAACTATGTTCCTATCTCTCTCTCTCTAAGTCTGTTCCTATCTATCTATCTATCTATCTATCTATCTATCTATCTATCTATCTATCTATCTTAGTCTGTTCCTATCTATGTTCCTAAGTATGTTGCTATTTCTATATCTCTCTATATATCTATCTATCTATCTATCTATCTATCTATCTATCTATCTATCTATGTTGCTATCTCTCTCTCTCTCACTATCTATCTATCTATCTATCTATCTATCTATCTATCTATCTAACTAAATCTTGTTATATTTATCAAATTCTTTTATACACTAATTGTTTCTGTATATTACAATATATCTGCCTCTCTTTCATGTTAATTTATGTAAGTCAACCTGGGTTCACGGTCATCACTATTTCTCTTATTCATTTTGCCCAATAAAACAATGATGCCAACCCAAATGCAGTTAATGAGATAATATTAAACAAGGAACATATATTCTGTTCTCCTTCTTTTAACACAGAACAACAAAAATCCACCCATAATGTCTGAAGTTTCAAATGCTGAATTTCTACCCGAAAAGTTAATGTCAACACTTTAGACATTTTAGAAGGCTGGGAAATGGCAAACAGGTTTTCTCCCATTTGTTATTTATTCCAATATCTATTAGCAAGAAAACTACGAATTCACCCTTAAAGACCATTGTTAAATATAGACTCAATGTCAATGTCTGGAATTTTTGTTTCATTCCTGAGTCTCATGGCGTCGAAGCAGACTGAACTTATTTAGATATTGACGCCATTTTATTTTTCTTACCAGCCATAATAATATTGAAATATTATTATCGGGTGTCATTTAAGCTACCTCCTGCGCAAGGCTCTTGATTGGGCCTTCATCAAAGTAAGTAGAGAGCAGTAGTTGCGATGGGCAACAATAAAGTACAGGAGAACTCAAAATTAATCGATTCATTTAAGTATTGCATTAATATTTAAGCTTACCTTTTAAAGGTTCAACGATCATTCTTGTGCTGTCACTTAATTTAAAGACAATTTGATGTACGTAGGTCCATACTTTCCGTACAAACAATTATTTTTTTTATTTCATGGGTGACTTTCGCTTGATTTCAAAACTAATTTGGATTATTCCACAATTTATTTCCAAATTACAAAAATTGTTATCGTACAAAAAAGAAAAAAAAAATCGTAGTAATGAAAACTTGGAAATTTTAAAATTTCAGGATATATGACTTCGGATCCGACCAGGAATGTTTCTGATTTGCTCACGGAATCGGTCTGATTTGAAAATAGTATGATATGTTGGGCTACGGCCTCTAGGAGTAAAGCTGAAATAGGGTGACACAGTGACACACTGACGTTCGCATTTATCGTATAGATTAAAAAAAACTTTCCATATTAACCTCATAAAAAGAAATAACTAAATATATTTTTCCCCTCCAACCTCTTTCCCACAGACGAAACCTCTCACTGCTCTATCGCTATTTCCATGACATTTCTTACGAGTTATGTTCCCTCGCCCCACCACCCCTGACCTTTACAGACTGTAATACCACGCAGACAAGTGTGAATCAACCCTATTACCTTCATATTTGAATTGCGGGAAGTAAGTTCCATTCGAACAGCTTCTTCCGAAGATCTGCTGCTTTGTGGAACAGACTCCCGGCAGGATGTTTTCCCAATCAATACAATCTCGACCCCTTCAAGTCTAGCGTTAACGTTCCTGAATAACCATATTCATTTCACTTCTTGCCTTTTTTTACGCTGCTACAACACCACACAGTAATGCACTAATTTGAATGGCTCTTGGGCCTTTTATTGGGTGAACATTAATATTAAAAGATCATGGTTGATATGTACAAAGAAGAAACATAAATGCTGCTTGTTAAATGTTTTTATATGCTATATCCCCTCAGGACAGTGAGTTATGGGCCTCCACATATTCCTTCTTTTCTATATTTGTGATAGGCCATGGATTCTTGGGAAAGATATTCGAATAGTTTCTCGTTGTCTTCTCCAAAATTCAGAACATTCCTTGTCCAAAACTTACTGCCAACCAAATTCTCGAGAGTCTGGCTGACTATTTCACCCACCATATCCCTCGGGGGTGGGGGAAAACAAATGGATTAAACTACTTTTAGAAAGCTTGGAAATAGCAAACGATTTTCCTTCCATTTGCTGTTTATTGCAATATCTATTTTTTTTAAATAATTTCCCCCCAGGTAAGGCGACAATGCCACTAAGACGCAAAGCGATAATTCCACAAAGACGCAAGGCGATAATGTCACTAAGACGCAACGGGTTATTGGGAGAGAAAAAAAATGAGAAGACTTTAAGAGAAGGAACCGGGAAGCCAATCCTAAACAGGAAACAATGGATACGCCTCTAATCCTGTTCAAAATACGACTAAGGCGTATTAATAAGGACTATTTACGATAATTACAATTAGAAATATAGCAACTGTCCATTCTGTGCGTTATGACTTGGCCTCTAATATAGAACGCCATGACTATATCTCCTTAGGACAGGGACTAATCGCTCTCCACGGATCCCTTCTCATCTATATCTGTGAAACGCCATGAATTCCTGGGAAAGATATTCCAATGGTTTCCTATCGTCTTCTCCAAGGTTTTAAATTCAGAATACTCAGAACGGCCACACAAGACAGGAGAATCTAGACTGACCGACTATTTAATCCACCATATCCCCCTGGGGTGGGGGAGAACAAATTGATTAATGCACTTTTAGAAAGCTTGCAAATCGCATATGAGTTTCTTTCTGTTTGCTATTTATTGAAATATCTATCTTTTCAATAATTTCACTCCAAGTAAGGCGATAATGACACTAAGACGCAAGTGGTTAAAGGGAGTGAAAACAAATGAGAAGACTTTAGTAGAAAGAACCGGGAAGCCAATCCTAAACATGAAAGAAGGGATAAACCTCTACTCCTATTCAAGAGGAAGGGACATTAACCACGTGATAGGCTGACTTATCTCCCTTCTATTTTAGTAATAAAACTACTAATTAGCCTTTAAAACCCGTTGGTAAACAGGGGCCTCGCTCAAAGTCTGCCATTTGGCTCTCGTTCTTAAGCAGCACAGCGTCACTGGATTTATTTAAATAATGACGCCATCATAATTCAATAATATTGCAATAACATCAGCAGGTTACCTTGTCGATATTACTCATTTTCAAATCGGGATATTTATGAAGTAAACACAATTTTTCATATAGATATAAATAAGAAGAATTATGGTCTTAATTCTCATTGCAAGATTATTGACACTAATTATAATTAGTGTTGTGACCTAGAAAAAGGTTACTGAATAAGAATAACCAAAACTAAGGTTGGAAAGGAACGATAATATTTATAACAGGAACAACATACAAAATTCGCCAGCGGCGTTTAGTAAGTAATCAGCTGCTAGTGGTGAGCGAGAAGTGAAACAAAGTGAATCCTATTGAAGATATTCACTAATCTCCCCACGCGGTCAGATGTGGCACAAGACCGAATTTAATGTAGGGTGAACTGAACCCGTAGGCAAAAATTCCCCGTAGACCCCGGATGCACGGGGTCGGGTAGCTATCTACAATCTCCAGACGAATCTTTGCCCGCCGACATAGCCTCGTCTGGGTTCCTCTCTGCCCGGAGGCAGAGAGTTTGACAAGCACACTTGGAAGTGAATCCCAGTGAAGATATTTACTAACCGTCCCAACCGGTCGGATGTGGCTCAAGGCCGAGTTTATCGTGGGGTATCCGAGCCCGTAGGCTCGGGCAAATATTACGCGTAGATCCCGTAAAAAACAGGGTCGGGTAGCTGTCTACCACCCAGACGAGACTCTGCCCTTCGGCATAGCCTCGTCTGGGTTCCTCCTCCTCTCTGTCCGGAGGCAGAGAGTTTGACAAACACACTTGTAAGTGAATCCCAGTGAAACCCAACATACAGCATATTCCACTGTATTTATAAGGATTGGGACATACCCATTATAGTCCATAGGTACGGTATAACAATTAGAAATATAGCAACCGATGTGTACAGATATGGCTGGATAGGGAATGGCGATTCACTGTGAACTGTGCAAATGCATACTAGTCAAACCTTGTTCACGGTCATGATTCATTTTGCATATTAAAACAATGATGCAAACTTAAATAACGTTATTAAGGTGTCACCAAACAAGGAATATTAATTTTGTTCATGAAACACGGAAATCGAGCCATAATGTCTCCAGTTCTAAATGGAGAATTTCCACACGACAGGTTAAACATCTTAGAAAGCTGGGGTAATTGCAAATTGTGTGTTTTTTTATGTCTATATCTCTAAGATGAGATATTATGATTACTTTCATTATTTACATTATTCGGATTGTTATCCTCGTCTTCATTGCACGGTGTTTCGGTCGTTGCATGCGCCGGCCTTCTTCAGGTGATTGGAATTTCGAACCGGACGCTTTATTTCGTCCACCTAGATTGTTCTAGTTTAACATGTCATACCTCTTCGGCATGTCTCAGTTATTTCCTTCTAACTCAACTCTCCAAGTTTTTGGTTCACCACTGCTGTGGCCTGGTATCGAACTCACAACTCTTTGGGTCTAGTCACTGGAACTAACCAACGTCTTTATCCAATGTCTTTGAGGGAAATAACTGAGACATCTGGAAGAGGCATGGCACGTGGAACTAGAACACGCTACCCCAGTGGACGAAATAAACGGCTTGGTTCGAAATTCCAATTACCTGAAGAAGGCCAGAGCGTACAACGGCCGAAACGTTGTGAATATGGCAAATAATGTAAATAATGCAAGTGATTTTTTTTGTTTACTATTTATTGCAATAACTAATATTACTACCACGACTACGAATTAGCCTTTAAATTTCATTGTTCAAGTGCATTCGCCAAGGTCAACCATTTTTTCGTTCGACCCTGTCTTCTATGGGACGCGTACATTCAGGACATGGCCGATCACGACTCTCCACATCTTCCTATCTCTTGTGGCTCTTAACTGTTTTTTCTACTTGTGCTAAGGTTACCCGGCTCCTTTCCGACATCCATTCGCACAAGATCCTCAGGAAGATGACCCATTACCTTCTCTCATCCCTCTTACCGTTAACATGCCCTGTGAGGGTTAAGTTTTCCAAGCCCTCCTTCCTCATTATGCGTCCAAGGAATTTCTGCTCTTTCCGATTCTGAGCATAAGTGTTCTTTCTGTTGTCATTGTCTTTAAAAACTTCCTTGTTACATAATCGCCCTGTCCATGGAATCCTCAATATCCTTCTGTTGATCCTTATTTCTACTGCTTCCAGTTTTCTCCTCATGTGTAGAGAAATTGTCCAACATTCGACGTCATATAAGAAGATAATTTGAAACCTAACGTTAACTTTTCCTTTTTTTTTTTTTTTTTTACTAAATTGGTCCCGATGCAAAGTTTAACAGCTATCTAAAGTCGAATTGAAGCGAAATGTTACAAACTGAATATTATGAAAATAAGAGGGATAGATAAGGACTGACCTTTAACTTGAACAGGTTAAGTTTTTAGTTTTCAGGGAAATATCCACGTGGGAGTATGTTCCAAAAAGTAGTACAGGATACCCAGTACAAAAACGGTGAATTCAGAATGTCGAGAAAATCTCAACACACACACACACACACACACACACACACACACACACACACACACACACACACACACACACACAAAATAAATAAAAAACAAAAAACAAAAACGGTGCTGGCCGAAGAAATAGAGCAAAAGTACTTACCTTAAGTTGCGAAAAAATATTTCCTTCAGCGATGTAGCTTAAACGTCTGCTAACTTGCATTGAGTTACAAGAATAGCAATGATAAGAATGAAAAAAAAAAAAATTTCCTTTATAACCACTTCAGGGATCACAAGTCACGAGACCCTGTAAGTATAAAAAAACAATTAGTAAAATGGTAACAGAACCAACAACCCAGGTAAGTACATTACTACTTCCCCCGCCTGAACCGTCAATTTTGCCACACCTTCTCGAAAACCAAAATTAAAAATAAATGACAATGTTATTAAGAATTATTTGTTTATATATATATATTTTTCTACAATAGGCCCTCTTGACTTATTCGGGGAGTAAACTAGGTCCTTCCCCATGACGGCGCCTCAAGGGTGCACAATATTTTTCTTGAAGAGATTCGACTCCTACACACCTGAAGTGGAACCAGCTGTCACATCATCACAGCAAATATCTTGATCGCCCTGTGGGGCTTTACATATTGAACAGAGCCAAACCACCTCCCCTTCATCATAAGGCGATGAATAAGGAGGGGCTGAAGCTGCATCAGCAGAGGAGGTCAAGGACAGCACTCCATCTTCTTCATCCACTGACAGGGACAACTCGTGCGGGAACAGGTGCTTCAAAGAGTGTACCTGCACTCTCCCACCCTGTTTAACCCTGGCTGCCCTGATAACACTATCTCTTCCGCTAATCAGCTCTACAACCCCACCCAGAACCTAAAAGGGTCTGGGCTTAAGAGGGCTCTTGATTAGTACCACATCCCTAATCTTCAGCCTGTTAAGGAACGGCATTCTAGAACGGTCCTGAGGCCTCTCCCTGAGGCTCAAAAGGTATTCATCATACCAACGGGCCCTACATTTTTCCAGGCACCAGTTCCGCATCTGCATGGCTCTGACGATTCTTTCCCTGCTGCGGTGGGCATAGAAGGAACACAGTCTTCCTCGTTCAGGTTCAACAGCAGTCCAGGACTCACACCAGGCAGCAAAAACATGCTCGGTGTTACCGCTTCCAGCTCTCTCACCGCCGATTCTCGATAGGTTAAGGGGCGATTATTGACATCTCTCTGAATGTCAGAGATAAGGGTTAGTAAGAAGAAATAATCTATCTCTCCCGTATACTTCTTTCCAACCCACGGTGAGAATAGCGGGATAGGGCGGAACGTTGGCAAGGGCCAAACTTCTTTTGGAAATCGTGACACAACATTAACTTCCAGAACAGTCGACCACCACCCAGAAAAGTCATAGCATTATCGTTGTAGATAGCAGCCGGAATACCGTACAAATTGGTGAAACACACCAAAGCTTGAAGGAAGGACAGAACACTTAAATCTGGCACCACGTCAATATGTACGGCTCTGAAGGGAATGAAACAGCAATTTAAAAATTAGACCCAATGGGTATTTACAATATGAGTACAAATCTTTTTCCAATAAACTAAGCGAAATAATGTTAGTAATAAAAACCCCACGGAGTTCATACAAACAATTTCCATGAAAGTATTTATAGAAAAATGCAAACAGAAGCAGGATTACGGCTGTGGGAAAGTAACTGAAGCCGAGACGGCAGATTGGAACCAGTAATATTGCTAATTCTTCTATGGATTTTATCAAGGAGCTCTAGATAGATAGCAGGGCCATTGGACCATATTGACAGCAATATTCTACGCCTATTGATAGTAATGTGCAAATACATTTTCACATCCCTATCACCCTCCCTAATCCAAAGGTACTCAGTATAGTCAATTCCTGTATGCCTGAAAGGAGCCTCCAGCTCCACACGCTGTGGTTAAACTGGCCACATTGAGAGGCAGGACATGCCTAGCATTGTCCCTCTTGCGCAACACACAGATACCCAAGACCATCTTCACAGTCTGTCTTCCCTCGGGCACCCAGTAACCACTTTGTCTCATTCCCACCAAAGTGGACCCAACTCCCAAGTGTTGGCACTTGGTATGGACATCCGTCATGAGGAGTTTCGTTATTGGGTGATGCATTGCCAACAGAATTGGGTGTTTAAATCCCATATTGAAATGAAGAGAACTACCAATTCTGCCGACGGACCTAATCAGGCGCTCCTCGTCAATGTACAGCTCAATGTCCCCCATCAAACTAAGGAGGATCCTGCATGAATGTCGATTGATCAGGATAGGCTTCCTGTTGCATTGTCTTTATCAGAAGTATGGCTGCCAGTCTCTCACTGTCAACCTCCAATCACCGCAACCTATTAATAAACTTTATGACTAACACGGTTACCCTAAAAAAACTTTGCAAAGGAAGAAAATTTCTCCAATGGCAGAAGCGTTGAGACTTCCTCTCAGCAGCATTCAATGAGGAAGGGCTATCCGTTTGCTGCGTTGACTGTGACATGGCAATTCTTTTGTGGCCCATGGAGTAATCCCGCTACACAAGCAATCTGGACCATGACACAAGAACCGAATGCAAGCCTTGAATATTTCCAACATCAAACCTCTGGTGATCAAGTCATCAGGGTTCTCTGTGGTTAGTACACATAGGAAAAAGTGGGTAAGGTAAATCAAAGATTCCAATTCAGCAAACATCTGCAAGACATCCTTCAGACAGTTTTTGGCAAATAGGTTCTTGCTCACGAATGACCCAGAAATGATCCACAAGTGGACCACCTGGAAATCCGTGGCTACCTGTATTTTGGTTGTGGAGAACCCACCGCGACCCCTCAAGAGAGTTGGCAAGCATTTCAGGGTGAAATACACGACCAAAAGTTCCAAGGTGAGGAATGTCTTCTTCTTTAAGGGTCACACCTTAGCCTTTACAAAAACCAGCTAAGACTGGAAATTCTGCACCACATATGCAGCAAATCCATATGCCTCTGGTTGTGCATCACAGAAGAGGAACATCTTACTGGCCTTGTTCTCATTGAAAGCCTTCATGGGGAAGATCAGCAGAAAGGAATTTCCATCTGAATGAAAACTCCGCCGGTAACGGCTCACCTCATCCTAAGCTCCTCTTCCATAGATCACTTAACAGGATACGACCTCGCAACGAATCAAGCAAGTATAAAGACAAGGGGTCAAAGTCTCTTGCTGCTTCTGCGAGTATATGCCGCTTTGTGGAAACATTAGCGTCACAACTTATGGGAGCAGCGAGGAATTTAAGTTCCAGATCCTCTTACTCTCTCCGGAATGAATGTTTCAAGAATTTCTTCTCGATATCCACCAAGTCTTCCTCAGAAGAAGAATGCAGTTGCAATTTGTTAACGCAGATCTCTACGTCCTTTGAAGATCAAAAAAAATCTTCACAGATAGTTCGTCCTCCTGTCTAGCAACATTCGGATTTGTCCTGATTTTTGATCGTAGAAGAGAAATCCTTCTCAGTAATGCGTCCCTGCTGTCATCCCGATCAGATACGTGCGAGATTAATATTTTTTTTCGCAAAATGTCGAGAAAATTTCAACACACACACACACACACACACACATAAAAAAAAGAGACGGTGCAGCCCGAGGAGAGGAGCATAAGTACTTAATTTAAGTTGCGAAAAAATATTTCCTTCCGCGACGTACCTTAATCGTCTGCTAACTTGCAATTGAGTTACAAGAATAGCAATAATAAAGAGGAAAAAACATTTCCTTTATAACCACTTCAGGGATCACGTAGTAACAATGAGACCCTGTAACTATAAAAAAAAGAATTAGTAAAAAGGTAACAGAACCAACAAACCAGATAAGTACTTTACTCCCTACCCCCGCCTGAATCGTCAATTTCTCCACAAGAAAGAAATCTATTTAGCTATTATGATTCATACACAAACTGAACAATCGTCGTAGATGTTCGAAATACTTGCCTGAATGTTCAACACAAAGTTGCAAGCTTGATAGCGAGAGGGCTGTAGCTTTATTTAAGGTCATGAATATTCAAGAAAATTATTCAAGCTTATTCAAGGTCAGTTATTCCTGAAATATAATACGATGATAATAGAGTTTTCTCCTTTTTTTTTACTGGGCACCCTGTAATTCTTTAGAAAATGCTGTCTGATCAGAACTTCCTCCTCACAAATGGAATCTGGAGGCACTGACAGTGATTCGACTCTGGTAGTAGTATGGTGTGTCCTAGTTATAAAGTGATGGAACTAAAAAAATGGTATACATCTGAATATATGTTATGGAAATAGCAATAGAGTAGCAGAAGGCTTGCAACATTGGTTCTTTTGGAAAGAGGTTTCAAAATGGAGAATAATTCATAACCTACACGATTGCGTAAACAATTTTGAACACTGTCAAAGTTGGTAAGTGGTGATTGAGAAGCTCTAACGCGGTTATGACAGCAATACTCTATTTCGGGTTTAATCTGACTCTTGTAACGTTAGAGCATCACGAAAGGCTTGAGTTGCTTCCCGGATAGAATCAGCCAATCATTTTTTCCTAGCATTTGTAGCAATGGATTGTGTATATAAGTTCCACTTGAGATTTGGAGGCAATTTGAGACTCAATGGAGCCTAATTGAGAGTGAAACCATTTTTCTTTAATTTTTTTTTTTCTGAGAAAGAATTTCCGTTATAGCTATATCATAAGTATAATGGGAAAATTACTAGATGATAAAAGGAAATAGAGGAGGACTTGAGATATCAAGGGAAGAATTGCGACCTGAAACTCGGAGAATCACTGACAAATAAAAAAAAAATAATTAGAAATACACTGAATGTAAGTAATTTAGATGAGAAAAAAAAAAATCTGCCATCTACATTAATGTATGGTAGGGCCTTTCTATTTTAATTAACTAAGTATAATCCAGAGGGTAAAGAATGCATCCGTGCTCGTAAGTAAGATGTGCTCGTAGTGTAACGGTTGTCGGGACAGGAAAAAGAATCGGTGTACCGAATTCAAATTCCGGATTTGTCTATTTCATTCACTTTCTCGCTGACACCCTTGAAAAAAAGTCATGAATTTCTTCTTCCTACCAGTTAGGGGTTAAATAATAGGGTAGACTAGATTCTCTAGCCTTAGTTGTCAAACCGGTCTAAGAGAAAAAGATTCTCTGAATTTAAAGCCATAAACGACACAACGGGAAACGATTCCGCTAGATTTCCTAAGAATTTATGATAATTCACAGATAATAAAAAAGGAAGCTGTTGAGGGACATTATTGCCTACGATCTGAAGAGATATAAAATTAGATATTAAATTTAGATTTCTTTGTTTTAAATATATTTAAGGCACCAAATTTATTTGAGAAAAATAAATATGGCCCAGAAAACAGTCAGGCCCATTTTAAAAAAGAAAACCAATAAAACGTAAGTTAATATTCCACTTTAACCGAATTTTCCAGCAGGAATATATTGTCCTATTGGTATGATACTTTTTCCATTTACCTACAGCTCACATATTTTTTTTAATTCTTAAAATACTTTTCAGCCTATACAAGGAACAAGAGCCACTCAAGGTCGAGGGTTAGAATGTGGTATAAATAGAGTAAAAGGTAAGAAGTGCAGTTTATGAGGATATATGGAATAGATAACGGTTAACCCTAGACTTGAACAGATTAAGTTTATACTGGTCGGGAAAGCATCCTCTTGGGAGTCGGTTCCACAATGTTGCTGCCCGTGGGAAGAAGCTGTTCGAATGAAACTTCTTTTTCATGGAATACGAAGGGAATGGGGAGGATTCGCACCTGAGTATATGGTATGGCGGGTCTTAGCTGTTGGTTGTTAGAATGGGTAGAACTATTTTTTTAATTATTTCACCCCAAGTAAGGGGATAATGCCACTAAGACACAATGTGTTACTGGAAGTGAAAAAAATGAGAAGTCTTTAGGCGAAGGAAACTGGAACTCAGTCCTAAATAGGAAGCAAGAAACAAACATCTATTGTTTAAAAAAGAGGAAAGGAGTGTGAACCGGGCTATAGGCGAACCTATCTACTCTTATTAAATCTTAAAAGAAAAGAAAAAATTAAGCAGTGATATCAGTGGTTACAGAAACAGCTATTGAATATGTTCATGATATCATTTGGTTACAATCGCGTCTGAGAATACCATGGAGGGAACATGTGAATAACGAGGAAGTTTAAG